CACTTCAATGCAAGGCTGTGCTGGTGCTCCTCTCCCTCTCTTTCTATCTCTACCCCTCCAGCCTCTAAAGTCAGAGAAACCATCACAGGACCCAAAGAAAAAGGTCTGTCTCTGTGTGATTATTTCGTGCAGCCCAGTTCACCTGGAGTGACCCTGAGTGTTTAGTCGTGGAATGCGACATTATCAGATATAAGTACAGTCACTCCTGCTCTCTTTGGGTGCCATTTGCATGCAATATCTTTTTGCACCTCTTTACTTGTAGCCTATGTATGTTCTTAAGGTTTGAGTCTCCTGTAGGAAGCATATGGTTTGATTTCACTTAAAAAATGCACTTAGTCTTCTATATCATTTGGATAATTTAATCTTATCTATATTTGCATTTTTTTTTTTACATTTCTTCAACATTTATTTGTTAACTATAATAGGACTTCTGAAGAATACTGGGAAAGGAGAAAAATATTTCCACAAATGCACCTATGCAGAATATGTTGACGTTTTGACATGATCAGGAAAATTAACCATTAATTTTTAAGCTGTAACCACTGAGCTATGTATATACGTAGCTCAGTGATAGATTTCCCTGATCCTTTGCCCCATCCCTAATGTTAGGAAACACATCAAAATGTAACAATACTTTTGTTAAAAAATATCTTTCACCAAACACTATGGTTAATTTAAGATTTTCTTTTTCACATTTTAAATATATATGGTTTATTGAATGCCAAGATTAAGTTCTGGTTTTAGTGTTGCTTTCAATTGTGCCCCAGCAGAGAGGGTCCAACACTTGACCCTTCTACAGTGGAGGTCCAGAGAAAAGGGAGTATTTGTCAGTGCATAAATGTAAGGACTTATACTGCAATTTAAAAAAATTGTCTTCTGGTTGTCTTGTAGATCCTTGGTTTTTTTCTTTGTCTGTTGATGCATTCCTTTGCAATCAAGTGATTTTTCCTTGTGATGTGTATTGATTCCTCAGTTAAAAAAAAAAAAAAAAAACAACCTAATTTTTTTTTTTTTTTTTTTTTTTTTTTTAGTACCAGAGATTGAATCTAAGATCTTGCACATGTTAGGCAAGAGCTCTAACATTGAGCTACAACACCAGCCCTTCTTTATCTTGTTTTGAGACCGGTCTTGCTAAGTTGTCTGCACTGGCCACAAACTTGCCATCCTCCTGCCTCAGTCTCTGGAGTAGCTGGTATTGCAGGTGTGCATGCCCACATCCAGCCGATTCCTTACTTTTTACCTTTTGTGCACCTAAGATAGATTTTTGTTTCGTGGTTACCACCAGTCTGACAAGAAACATCACATAGTTATAACAGGCTATTTTAAGCAACTTAGCTTTGGTTGCTAAAAATACCTACAAACCCCCAACACTCTACATTTTTACTCTTTCTTTCCCACATTTAAAAATTCTTGATGTCATTATTTACATCTTTTTTGCGAATGATTTTAAAACTTTCCTATGTTTTTGTGTTACTAATTATCTTTTCTTTCAGCTTGAAGAACTTCCTTTAGCATTAACTTGCAAATTGGCTCCAGTGGGGATGAGCTGTCTCAACTTTTGTTTTTCTGGGCAAGTCTTCATCTCTCTTTCATTTCTTTTTTTTTTAAAGTATATTTTTAGTTATTGATGGACCTTTTTCTCATTTATTTATTTATATATGGTGCTGAGAATCAGTGCCTCACACATGCTAGGCAAGCACTCTACCACTAAGTCACAACCCTTGCCCTCTCCTTTCTTTCTGAAGGACAGTTTTGCAGGGTAAAGTTTTCTTAGTTGGCAGTTTTTTTTTTCCTTTAGCATTCAAATATAATATCTCATTTTCTCCTGGCCTGTACGGTTTCTGCTGATAAATCTACCATGTGTATATAAATTCCCTTATACATGCTATTTGCTTCTTTTCTCTGGATGCTTTCAGGATCCTCTTTGTCTTTGAGTTTTGACAATTTGATTATAATACTCCTTGGTGTATCTTGTTTAAATAGACTCTGGAGACCTTTGAACTTTCTATACTTTGATATTTTTATATTTCCTAAGGTTTGGAAATTTTTATTCTATAATCTATTTAAATAAACTTCCTACTCTTTTATCTTTTCTTCTTGTTAAAATTCTATGCTTATGTATTTGTTTTTTTTGATGTTGTTCCATAAATCCCACAACATTTCATAATTAATTTTCATCATTTTTTTCCTCCTTTATATTTTTTCAAATAAACTGTTTTCAAGTTCACAGATTCTTTCTTCTGCTTGATTAATTTCCTGGATTGTGCTTCTCATTTCATTTATTGTATTTTCAGCTCCAGGATTTGACTTTTGAAAATAATTTCAACTTCTTCATCAAATTTCTCATTTTAGTTATTTGTTTTCCCAATTCCATTGAATTATTTTTCATTTATTTTCTGGAAGTTTGAACTCTTTTAAGAGAATTCTTATTCTTAGTTCATATAGCTCCATTTGGGGGATTCAACAATGGTATTTGATGGTATGTGTCTCTTCACTTTCTCATTTTTTTTTTTTTGGTTGCCTTACACTGATGCCTTTTTATTTGAATAAGCCTTTGGGCAGGCTGGTCTGCAACTGGTCAGCAGGTGGGAGAGCCTGGCACCAGGGTCCATTGGGTTGGGTGAAAGAATGGACCCAGTAGTGTGGACAAGCTGATTGATTGAGTCTGCAAGAATGACCCTGGAACCTAAGTACCCCAGGATGAGGTTGGAACCTGAGTTCAATGGAGCCTGCCTGAAGCCTGAGTCTACATGAGCCATATGGCATTGGACTGGGTTTGGAGCCTAAGTCTGAGGTGGTGGGTCTGGGTCCTAGGTCCATGGACTAACCTAGAGTTTAGATCTTCAAGGGTGGTCTTGGATCCTTAGTCTATGGAGTATGGCCTGTCACCAAGGTCTATTGGGATTTGCTAAACCAAGTCTGGACCTTAGGTCCTCTGAAACCTTGTACCACCACAGGGACTGATATCGCCATCTGTCCTAGCTGGCAACCTAATGCTGGATTCACAAAATCTGACTATTCCAATAACTTAAGTGACAGTTCTCCAACCTTAAGGGTCTGTGGAAAGAGAGAGAGCCACTAGAATTCTTTATTCTCATATAGGGGACACACAAGGGGAGTTTCCATGGAACATTCTATCCCCCAAATGGCAAAGGGGTAGGATTACCAAGGAACAGGTGAGCGTAACTCAACCCCAGTGAATGATGCCTACTCCTGGAGCCACGCCTTGTTATCTGAGCTGGGGTAATACCCAAGTTATTGCGACCTGGCTCTACTGTGCCAGACTGAATGCAATAATTGTGCATCAAGACTTAAAATTGTCTGCATCCAGGGCAGCTTCCGACAGACTGGTGTTGACCCCCAGGGCTGGCTTGGTACTATAGCAGGCATGGAGCCTGGAGCCTAGGATTGCAGGTTCTGGCATGGAACTTGGGGCCCTGGGGACTGACTCGGTTCCTGTATTTGCTGGTGCTGCCCTGGAGGCGAGGCGCACAGGTCTAGCTCAGTGAGGGCTGACATAGGTTTTGGGGCCTTGGGAACCAGCTTGGGCTTAGATACACAGAATCCTGTGCTGAAACATGATGTGGTTCTTAGATCTACAGGGAAGGGTTGAATGGGTGGGCCATGGGGAAAGCTTGGCATTGGATAGGCCTGGAGCCATTTTTTATGGGTGCCTACCTGTTGCTTGAGGCCAGGAATGCCAACCTGATGCTGGGGTGAACCTGAAGGGCTGACTTGGCACTGGGTGGATCCGGAAACTGTATCCACAGGGTCTGGACTGGAGGCTGGGCCTATGTTTACTGGCCCGATGACTGATCCTGCAGGGATTGGCCTGGTGCTGGGACCTTGAATATTGGGGCCACAGAGTCCAGCCTCATGCTGGGGCCTCCAGAGCCTGAATCCACCAGGCTGGCCTAGAATCTTGTGACTACATTAGCCTGTCTGGCATAAGGGTCAATCTTGTTGGCTTAGTCCACAGGTACTGGCCTGGAGTTTGGGGACACAGGGGTTGGCTTGGCATTAGATAATCATGAATCCTTTACCTGTAGGGTCAGGCCTAAATTCCTTGACCTTCAGAGCTATCCCAGTGCTGGAGGTGGTCCAGAGCAAGGAAGCAACAGAGACTGAGTTCACCAGGCTGACCAGGAGTCTGGGTCTTGGGAGCATGCCCAGCGCTGGGGGCAACCTAGTACTGGATGCTTACCCCACTCTCCTTCCTCCATGTAGGTATCTCTTTTCATGATGAGCTGTAATATAAAACTGATTCAATGCATCTTTTCTTAATTCTGTGCTACATCCAGTTGCTATATATATTTTTTTACCTGGTTTCCTTAGCTTTTTTGAAAGTATTTTCTTCCATGGGAGGTTGTTCTAATTGATGTTTTTGTCAGCCACGATGTACTAGAGAGTCTTATTCTGCCATCCTGCTGACTGGAACTCCCCATTGCTTTCTTGTATTCTATCCTTAATAAACAATTTTGCAGTATTTTATTCTTTTGAGAATCCTCTCTCCATATTCCTTTCTTTCTTTTTGTGGCTTTTTCTTGGCTTACAGGTAATCATACTCTCCAGGCTGTTATCTATTCTATTTCTTCTCTGATAACCCCTTCGCTAACTCCTCTTAGGACATATACCTCAGAATGCTATCCACTTTTTCTTTATTTACACACTCTCTGTTGTCAATGTCAACTATTCCATAGGAAGTTTTCAGAACAGTCAAGGGACAGTGCTAAGTAAGTATAAGAAGCAATATAAGAAGCAATCTGCCTCGTTCTTTATGCCTTGTACTCCATGCTATGGAGACTATGTATTTCTTCTTATCTTAGCCCATTTCTCACTTACCTAAACTACTCTCAGTGATTCTACAGGTGACCAATTTTTGAACAGTATAGCACAACTTTATGAAAGTATTCTGCCCAGTGCCTAATGATGCAAAACTCTTCTATCTTGATTGGTTAACAGTCTGAGGAAGTTTCCAATCCCATGGAGGCCAAAAAGTTATCTATACTCAATGATTTTTTCCCCCACTGAGTTTTGAGGCAAGTTCTATTCTAGAGAGGTTGATAATTTTACTGTCTCATTTACTGCCCTTCAGAATGAGCTCTGCATGGGCCCCCTGGGTGACAGCTCTGCTAGTGAATCTGATCAGGCTAAATTTCTCCATGACTCAAGACAGAGACTCTCCAGGTAAGTGCAGAGAAAGTCTTTCTGGGTGTGTGTGCTAGGATTGGCATGGGGGAGGGATGTCTTTCCTTATAGGTCCAGGTCACTGGATGGAGTGGAAGTGGCTTCTGGCATCCAAGAGCAGAGTTCTTCCCATTGACAGAAAAGTGCTCTTTTCTTCTTTATCATGCACAATGTACCCTGGGAGAAGGACTTCCAGTTCCTAGACAAAGATTTGAGGGTAGGAAGAAGGGAAACATTTTGTCTTGTTAGATTTCTTATTATATCAATATCAGACACAGCAACTGTAAAAGCTGGAGACAGTCTGAGAATAGCTGCCATTCTTAAACCAGGATTTTATTATTCTGACAATTATAATGATTTCTGTCTTTATCTAGTAGGGGTGTTTATAGACCAATGGTACTGGAAACAATTTCTTCAGTCACTTTTTTAGATCTTATTATATGGTCTCAGTTGTAGTAAGCAGTTTTGAGAAGTTGAATACATTAGTTATCCTTGTTCTCAGGTTACTGGGTACAGATAATTTGCCACTGTTATTTTTCTTGCTAAGAAGACAGGCTATGCAAACATGAAGTGATGTTAGACCATGAAAGCACATATTTATGAGCAGAAAACAGGATGTATGGTGCTAAGAACAGAATCCCCTTTAAATGTCAGAGTTTCATTAAAGACAAAAGAGGAACTGACTCTGGGGAAAAGTATCATGGTTCTCAGAGAATAGAAACTGCTCTGAGTTTATACTGTTCATTAAACAATACAATTAAAAATAATCGGTACAGATTTTAAATGATGATTAAAAATTCAGATGATTTTTCATATTCAGACTATAAAGGGTAACAGAGAAAAATATAAATGTGGAAAAATTGGAGGTTGGAACCTCACCTGAAATCAGCTGCTGAGTGAGAGATGAGCCTGGTTGGCCCAGGAAAATCATCCTTATGGCTCAGCTGAGGAGTTCCCGGAGGGCTCTCTGAACTTAGAAACAAAAGTAAATTTACAACTCAAGATCAACAGCAATTCTTCTTCAAGTCTCAAGTGTCATTTCTTCAGGAAGGTCTCACCTGACCCACCTGCATGATTAACCTCATTTGAATTTTCTTTTATTATTATTAAGTTCATAGGATTGAACTAAAAAATCTCAATGAGTCCTCCACAGCACTTTGTAGTCACTGGACAATAGGAAGACCCTGTTCTCCTCCCTTGTCTCCATTATTACTCTCTCCTCTCCAGAGATATTCATTCTTAGTGTGTCTGGTATGTCTTGAACACAAGGGTGGCTTTTAAAAATATGTAGTCTTATTTTTCTGCGTATATTTAAAGTTTTTAAAATGTGTCTTTGTGCATTGGATCACATTGTTTCTTTTCTCCCTAAACACTATACTTTTGAGCATACTGATGTCAAAAGCCTCCTCTCAGATCTGTGTAGTCTGACATAATGTGGCAGGAATGGGACTTCCCAGAGGAGGAGGCTGTTTCATGGTCTCCCTCCTTTTTTCCCCCCACCCCCCAGAAGATTTTGTGATTCAGGCAAAGGCTGACTGTTATTTCACCAATGGGACAGAGAAGGTGAAGTTTGTGGTCAGATTCATCTTCAACCTGGAGGAATACGCACGTTTTGACAGTGATCTCGGAGTGTTTGTGGCATTGACAGAGCTGGGGCAGCCTGATGCTGAGCAGTGGAACAATCGGCCTGATATACTGGAGAGGAGCAGAGCATCTGTGGATATGCTCTGTAGACACAACTACAATTTGGGGGCCCCCTTCACTGTGGGGAGAAAAGGTGGGGAGAAAGGTGGGTCTAGTGGGGTTCAGGAGTCTGCTCCATGAGAACCTGGCCACAGTGCTTCTTCCTTATGACAGGTAAATTTCTGCTTCAGGATAAATGGGTTACAGGTCAGAGAGTTTGTGAATATGTTCTGTCCCCAGCTAGATGTGAGTCACTCATTATCCTCACAGCTCAGGTCACTGTGATCTTGGTCCCAGACCTCCTAGGTTCTCAGGGTCTTTCAGGACTAGCATACTCTCAATAGAAGGGGTGATTGTAAGAGGACTTGATAAGATCTACATACTCTTCAGGGGGCATTGAAATAACCTATTTCTTAGTCTTTGAGGGATGCAATATCTCTACACTTCTATTTTTAACTTGGGTGCTCTGGGATAGAGATTGGGGTAGTGATAGTCCCTAAAGAAGCTCCTGCTCTGGCTTGGCTGGTCTCATTTTTCTCTCCCTTCCTAGTGCAACCAGAGGTGACAGTGTACCCAGAGAAGACCCCATTCCTGCATCAGCACAACCTGCTGCTCTGCTCCGTGACAGGCTTCTATCCAGGGGACATAAAGATCAGGTGGTTCTGGAATGGACAGGAGGAGAGAGCTGGCGTTATGTCCACTGGTCTTATTAGGAACGGAGACTGGACCTTTCAGACCACGGTGATGCTGGAAGTGACTCCTTCACCTGGAGATGTTTATAGCTGCCTTGTTGAGCACCCCAGTCTGCCCAGCCCTGTTTCTGTAGAGTGGAGTGAGTAGTTTCTTGTACTCTCTGGGCCTGACTCAGGATCAAACATTTACACTTCCCCATTCATCTTGGTCACAACACGATTCTTTCCCTTGATCTGGGAGGGTCACAAAAATCAGAGTCTTTGCTCTAGGATGGGAGAAAATAGGGCAGCTATTGATCTTCATGTCTTCCAAGAAATAAGGATGTTTAATCATCTCATTATTTGCTTCCCCCTCTGGGAACTACTCTCCTTCAAGAAATATAAGAATCAATAAAAAATGGGAGGCAATCTGTAGTTGCAGACTTTGACCTCGGAGTGCCACTTCTAAATATTTTTCTTCTCTAAATAGCATTGGTGTCCAGTACAGACTTTGGAATTTTAAGAAGGTGCATCAACTACTGGGTGCTACTCACTAACTTTAAACTTGTTTTCTGCAGGAGCTCAACATGAATATTCTTGGAAAAAGATACTCAGTGGAGTTGGAGCCTTCCTACTTGGGCTAACTGTCCTTCTGGTGGGGATCATCATCCACCTCAGGGCTCGCAAAGGTAATGAGCCTCTGAAACCTTGCCACCTGCCCTGTTTCTTCCCTGGTTTCTGACTTTCCCTACATCAAGATCTGAGGCAGGGAAGACTGTACTTCACAGGGGTCACTAGGATCCCTGAAGCCAGAAACAACCCTAGGGTGAGCAGACACAAGTTTTGACAGTGCAGGCCATTCCCCATTCCTCAGAATAATCAAATTTGGTCCTAAATGGATCATTTCACTGTCTCTTTCCAGGATCTGTGGAGACTCAGTCTGGTGATAAGGTAATATCTCTTATTCCTTGTCTCTGGGTGGCATATTCAGACAGTGCATTGGCTAGAGGGAGTCAACGGGGTAAAGGAGGCAGAGGGTGGTCCCGGCTGGTAGTGTGTCTCCTGAGTTCCTGGAATGGGGGGTGGGGTTGCTTCATGAGACCTTCATCACTGTTTCCGCAGATCTCAAGAGCTATTCTACAGAAGCCATACTCAGATCCTAATCAAAGCTTCTCTCCTGAAACCTGAAGTAGTGCTGTGGCTTAGGAAAGGACATTGGAGAGGTCTGGGAATGATTTTGTTCCATGATCCTTGGAATCCTGAATGGATTTTGGAGTTTTGTGCTGTGAGATCATGCATCCCCCAACTCTGTCCTTCCTCTCATTGTGTGCTTTATTAGTTCCCATTCCAAACACATGGTTCAGAAATTTCCAGAAGACCTAACTCTTTCCAGTCCCAAACTATGCTTTTCTATAGCCCAGCCCTAACCCCCACAATTCCTAAATCTATCTTTCAACTGCAGTCTCCACTGTCTTCAGAAGACAGATGCTCAGTCGCTGTTTCCATTTACTATTTTTTTTAAAAAACAATTATTGCAAAATAAAACAGAAATACAGATAACCACACAAAATATATGATTTAATGGATTAAGGCAGAACCCCTATAGTCACCATTCAGGTCAAGAAACAGCACTTTTCCAGCCACTACAAAAGTTTTCATGTGCCTCAGGACAATCAAGTCCCTTTCTTCCCATTTATGATGCCCTCTTTCTTGTAGTTATTTATAGCCTATTCACCCAACTGTGATTCTTGCACACCACACTTAGTTATCTTTTATGCCTAGACCTCAGGTTTCTCCTCCATCCCATTCTTTTCATTATGATTAATTCATGGAAAAGCTCCAGTTATTTGACCTGAAGTGTTTCCCACACTCTGGATTTGGTGCAGTTTAACATGCCCCTTTGCCCTCTGTAATTTTTTACCAGTTAGCATCTGGTGCAGAGGTGGAATTAGACTCTGGTTTGATCATTTTGGAAAGCCTGTTGGTGGCTGTGTAATCTTTTACCAAAAGACATGTAATTCTACTTGCATAAGAAGAGTTTTATGATGTTAGCAACCATTGATACTAATTGCCTAGTTCTGTTAATATATTTGGGATTGCAACATGGTGATTTTTCTAGTTTTGTAATCCCTTCTTTGTTTATTTACTGTATATTATTTGTTATTTTCACTGCATTATTTGCATTGTGGGTGCAAAATCTATAGTGGGTAATACTGTTGGTGCCTTAGCTCAATTGAAGGACTGATACCAAGCTCTATAGGTAAGTCTTGTATTCTTCACTGCCATGCACTTTCAAACAACAAATGCCAGTTTTGCTTAAGAATGGTCTTGATGAAGCAATAAAAATCATTCATTTTGCTAAATCTTAAACCTCAAGTATGTATTTTTAAAGTCAGTTTGACAAAATAGGGAGATTTCCTGTTGCATACAGATGGAAAGGCAGTTGTATCATGCTTGAGTTGTGAGTGGAATTAGTCCCCCCTACCATTTAATGGATCATAATTTTTCCTTGAAAGAATAATTGAGAAACAGTGTGGTTATTTAGATTTGGGCATTTGGTATAAGTTTTCTCAAAATCAAACAAATAGGCCTATTATCTGGAGAAAAAATTTCATTGACAATAAAAATTATATTTTCAAGAGAAAATTAAAAAAATATAAAAAACTTGTTTGCCACATTTCTTCTTCTAAATATTTCCCTGATGTTATTGGTGGTGATTTGAGCATACATGGTTTTGAAAGCATTGTTTAATGAAATGTGTTAACATTTTAAAGATCTGCATAACTCCATGAACCAATAATTTCCAAATAATCAATGCATGATGTGGCAAAGTGGAAGGATACATGATCCATTCAAAGTATAAGATAGACCAATTAATTTTTAACCCAACAGAATATGATAAGTTCATTGATAAGTTTTCAGATTCTATTTTGTAACTAACCTGTAAAATTTTGCTGCTTGCTGAGTTTTAATGTTGTAGAAGAATATCCATAATATCTGAAAAGCTATTAAAATTTTTCCTCTTTCTAACTACATTTCAGAGCATAGCCAAATTTTCTTCATGTACTTCAACCAAAACAATGATTGTTAGAGTTTGAACAGAGAAGAATACGTAGCCAAGTTATCATTACTAAGTCTCACAGAGGAGAGTTTAAAAATGTAAAACAATTTCTTATATTTCAGTGTTTTTCTGTGCTGGAAAATATAGCTATTTTCCACAAAATATGTTATTTATGTGACATGTAATGCATTTATTTCTGCTATTTAAAAAGACACACAAAACAAATATTAGTGTTGCTTGACATAACCCATATAAATGGAAGTCCATTTCTTCTTCTAAAAATTTTTAATCAACATAGAAATTTAACATATTTTATGGAGTGAGGTTTCAATGCATGTAGACATTATGTGATGTTTAAATCAGTGTAAGCATATATGCTTCCTGAAACATTTATTATTTCTTGGTGGTGAAAGCATTAAAATTCTTTCTGATAGTTTTTTTCAAACATATAGTACAATTATTATTTATAGTCACCCTACTGTGAAATAGAACACCAGATGATATTTTTCTTTTCTATAATTTAGTTCCCATTGATCAACATTTACCAATCTCTCCCCACCCCCTTATTCTCTGTAGCCTCTAGTAACCACTCTTGAGTCCTAAGAAATTTGACATTTTTTAGGTTACACATGAGTGAGATCACATAGTACTTGTTTCACTTAACATAATGATCATCAGTTCTATGTGCTGTCAAAAATGACAGGATTTCATCTTTTTTCTGGATAAATAGTATTTCCACTCTGTACCAGAGTTCTTTTAGCATTCTCAATTTTTAAGGGATTGTGATACCAAAAAGTTTGCGAATTACTGACATACTCATTGTGTTGTTTGGAACTCTCTATTTAGTAGGTTCTTCAAGAACTTGCCGAGAAGTGTATGAAACTCTCTGGTTGCAATTCTGGAGTTGTATATTTCTCCGTGTAATTCTGTGGTTTTTGTCTCATATATTTCTGAGTGCTGTCTTCCTGTTGACTCTTTTATTCTCATGAAGGGTTCTTCTTTATCTCTAACGATACATTTTATTTTGAAATGTGTTTTCCTGATAGCACCGTGGCCACCCAGCCTGCTTAGGCTTACTGTTGGCATGGCGTATCTTTTCCCATGAATTGACTTTCACTTCAGTATTTATGCTCCAAATGCATATCTTGCCAATAGCACATCTCTGCCACTCAACCTATCAACCTTTTAATTGGAGGGATGACTCATAAGGCTTATTGTGGCTGTTAACATCAAAGGTTTGGGGCCTACCCATTACTTTTCCTGTTTCTTGTTCTCTGGAACCTCCTTTTCTGCCCGATGCCTTATCAAAAACCATAGAACAAGAAGAAAGGGAGGCAATGCCTTCAAGTCTCTGAGTAAAACACAGTCAGTCCATTAGAGTATATCTGTCTCATATGTGAGCTTTTGGGGGCACTTCACATCCAAATCAAACAAATAGTAATCTGTACTGTAATTAATTAATTAATGGTAAAGGAATTCTTTAGTTTGACAGCAAACAATACCAGTGGAAAACTCAGACTTCTAGAAAAAGTAAGAGCATCAGAACTGGCAAATGTCTGGCTCAATGTGAAAGACTATATTTCTTTCTCTCTCTCTGACCCTTTCTTCCTCCTCCTCCTCCTCCTCTTCTTCTTCTTCTTCTTCTTCTTCTTCTCCTTCTCCTTCTCCTTGTCCTTCTCCTTCTCCTTCTCCTTCTCCTTCTTCTTCTTCTTCTTCTTCTTCTTCTTCTTCACTGGGATTGAGCCCAAGGACACTTAACCACTGAACCACATCACCATCCATTTTATATTCTATTCTGAAACAGTGTCTCACTAAGTTGCTTAGGGCCTGGCTAAATTGCTGAGACTGGCTTTGAGCTTCAATCCTCCTGCCTCAGCCTCCTTAGGCTGGACTTACAGGTGAGCATCACCACACTTAGCTCTCTTTGACCTTTTACACTTACTTAATAAATACAAATAGAGCTTTCTCTTGGAGATTTTGAACTAAAAATCCCTCAATTGCATAGTTGTTCCCTGTACATTTCTTACTTAGTGATTTGTAAAAATCACTCCCAAATGGAGCAGCTTGAAATTACCAGGGTTTATGATCTTGCCACTTTCCTATGGGGAATGTTCAAGAACAGAACTTGAAGGCTGATGGGCAGGGAAGGAAGGACCTCATCCACAGCTCATTCCTGTAGCTCGTGGCCACAGCCCGCAGTTCCTGGCCATGGAGGACTCCCTTTAGGTGACTGTCCAGTGAAAGATGACTTAGCCAGGAGTGAATGATCCAAGAGAGAGCAGAGCAAGCAGGAAACCCCAGTGTCTTTTTGTCTGTGGCTGCACACCATCAATTCTGCTTTGTCTCATCACTGGAGTGAATTGAAGAAGTCAGCCACATTCATGAGGAGGGAACTAGGTTCTCTTCTTGAGTATCAAGGAACTTGTGATCAGTTGAAAACCACCAAATTCATCCTTCTGACCACAAATCATTCATATTCCTTCCACGTGTACAGTAAACTGCTTTCCATTCAAGACTTCCAAAAGTCTCATTTCCTCTTCTAACCAGTGTCAACTCCAGAGTCTCATCATCTGAATCAGGTCCAGGTACAGATGAGGCTCCTTGAATGAACTGAGGTCAGTGCAGCTCTCCACGTGCAGTTCAAGAAAGCTCACCCTGTGAACCAAAGAGAAGAGTTGTCTGCATCCTGACATCTCGACTGTGACCCGCACAGATGAGACAAACTGGGTACAATAAGATGCAAGAAGATGGTGGAAAATCACACAATATAGAAAGTAGTACCCAAAACATGGGGGGAAAGAATGGTTCTCCTTCAACCTTATGCGTCGAGCTTCCATGCTGGAAAGAGAGAGCAAGCAAGCCTGCATTTCCTTTGTTTATTCAAAGGGGGCTTCAAAGGATATCCATGGAATCTTCTTTTGCCAAATAAGGTAGAGGGTGGGCTGTTCAAATCCAATGGGTAACTCCCGACTCCAGAACTACTAAGCAGCCTCTATAGCTGAGTGAAGACTGAGGTCATGTGCTGTGCGTAAAAAACCACAAAATGATTGCAAGGCCAGACCAAAATTTCCTTAGCTTCATAACTGAGTAGAGGCTATGCCAATAGCTCAGGGGTGGCCTCCCATACTGACAATGTGGTATACAATGGTGACAGTATACAATGGTGATGCATAGATCCTCATCTCAGGATGGACTGGCTCCTTTTGATATGAAGAAAAGGCTTCAGGGACTCAGAAATAGGCAAAACCTGCAAAATTTCTTTGGGCCACAATGACTCCTAAGAAGGTAAAACCTGTGAAATTTCTGTCTTTCTTTCTAATGCACCCTCCCACTTTTAAAACCTGTCCTGTCCCAGGGCTTTTCTGACATGGAAATTTTGAAACAATTATATTTCAACCATCTTCCTTCCAAGCTGGCTTGGAATAAAATCTGCCTGTTTTCCTATTGTTATGGTTTAGATATGAGGTGTCCCCCAAAAGGTCCTGTGTGAAGCAATAAAAGAACATTCATAGGTGAAACGATACAATTACGAGAGTTGTAACCTAATAAGTGAATTGATCCACTGAGAGGAATTAACTAGGTGGTAACTGTAGGCAAGTAGGATGTAGGTAGAGCAGGAAGGTCACTGAGGGTGTCTGCATTTGGGGTATATATTTTATCCCTGGAGAGGGCAGTTCTCTATCTATCTATCTATCTATCTATCTATCTATCTATCTATCTATCTATCTATCTATCTATCTATCTCTGCTTTCTGATTACCATGACCTGAGATGATTTTCCCCTCCACACCCTTCGGCCCTGAGGTTCTGTCTCTCCTCAGGCCCAGAACAATGGAGTTGGCTGTCCAGGCTCTGAGACTTCTGAAACACAAAAACACAAATAAACTTTTCTTCCTTTATGTTGTTCTTGTCACTTCTTTTGGTCACGGTGACTCAAAGCTGACTAAAACACCTTCCAATTTTGAATCAGACTCTTTGAGGGGCACTCCCTTCCTGAATTGGAATATATTCTTCTGCTGAAGGAGGAAGCTAAAGGCCAGATACCTCACCCAGGGAGTCTCCACAGAAGACGGGAGCAGAGATGCCCACTCAGGCCTGTCGAGCTGCAGGATCTCTAAGTCTCTATAGGTATATTTCCTGCCTGTGTCACTTCCTTCCCTCTTCTTTAAAAATCAGGCTTATTTTCAGGGATTTTGGAGATGAAACTTTTGAAACAAGTTTGTTTGTTTTTTTTTTTCATCCTCCTTCAAAACTGGTTTGAATAAACCTATTTTTCTACCAATTTGTTTTCAAATGTTCTGGAGCAGAGA